TTTACAATTCTCAATATTATAATTAGGAAAATATTTTATATAAACGAATGAAATAAAAAATGTTCTCTTTTCTTCATAGGTCAAGAGAAGAATATCTAACAATCCTTCCGGGAGAACTTTATGTCTATTGCAGAGGTTAAAAATTTTTACAGTTTCCCGGAGGAAAAGAAGAAAATGAGCCTTCTGGTTTCCGCAGTGATCTTGACAGCGGAGAAGGCAGTAAGATTGATGACGCGGTTTCGACGACTTTTTCGTTCCTATTAAAAGCAACATCACACAAAGCCTGAAAACGCATCTTTTAGATGTATCCTACCTCGGTCCTACCTTCGAAACAGACGATTCATGGTAATTATATTATAAAGTGCGAAGATCAGTGAATCTTGTTCAACTTCAATGTCTATAGATATTTTAAAAATAAGAATATACTTGAAAAGCAGGATATACGTAATATACGTATTAATTTCAGTAATTATCCTACACAGAAAAAAGTATTAGATTTATATAATTCCTTAGCAAATTTTTACTTGGATTAAATAAATTGTACTCGAATTAAGTAAATATTGTACTATAGTTTATTGTATTAGACAATTTATTTGGATAAAATAAATATTACTTGATTCAAGTAAAAATTTGAAAGAGTATTGGAGTAAATATTTATTTGAATTTACTTTTACCGATACTTACTAACACTAAAGTTCACTAATACTTTTTTTTCTGCGTACGACCTTTGCACCGGCGATCTTCTTGCAACAAGCTCAACGACAACTTGCACATGGACGTTCCTCAACTTCGGGACAGTCTCGCAGAGCGTACGTTGCACAGTGCTTATACGCATTCCGACGGGGAACATTATGGACTGCCAGGAGTTAAGAATTTTTACGATCGCGTGTGCGAAGACGCGCGGGGGAAGGGGATCAACGACGATCCTTCTCATGGTGGTTGCGGCGACGAGGAAAAGAGCCAGGTTTGATGACGAAGGCGGGAAGGGTAGGAGGAGGGCGAAGGGGGGCGCGAAGGGAACGACGGTGGTGAGGTCTATGCCGTAACAAGGGTGGCACGATTTCAAGAATGCGGAGCACGTTCTCAACCAATGCCGGCAGCCAAGGCAGTAAAACAAATACGCCTTCACTATATACGGGGTGTCCCGGTAATACCGCGCGTCTATGCGCACCTCACTCCCCCGGCCGAAGAAAGAGTGTCAGAGAGTAAAGTCGACCTCGTTACCGATACGAATGGGGGTAATGTGCTGTGTACGTAGCGAGACCTTTTCATAGGCTCCCGTGGGAAACAGGTTCTCGCAGTCGAAGCTGAAATTAACTCGACGGCGGGAGTTTCCTGCGCCGACTCTTTCTTGCGTTAACTCGCGAGCCTCCGCCGAGAGCGAGATGTAACTCTCATTCAATCAGTTACCGCGTCGACCTCGCGCGTTCTTCAAATTCCCGGAGCCGACGAGTTATGCGAGAAGCTTAATCCAAGTAAAAGAAGCTTGCTCGCGCATCGTGAATTGAAAATAAATTTAACGAAGCATAAATAGCGCTTCAATCTACTCCGATGCTGAATTAACGAATCTATCCATTCAGACACGCCGAGACTGCGACTGTGAGATTTTAGTGCGGAAATAGAAATGCATAATTACGATGAAATGTGCCGTGTTATAATTTGAATAAACCCCAGGCTAAATTATTCTGCGTCGAAACTCAATAATGGTGTGATATGTATGGCGAAATGCGTGTAACAGATCAATTTCGCCGGTGATGTGCGGACGTGTAATTTCGCTTTCTACTTTCCGCGTCCGCCTCGCGATAGTCCCAGGTGAAGTATTGGCGTCGATAAAAGATAGATTACCGCCGCGTTTGATAGCGTCGGGGACGATCACGGCGGAAAGTATAGCGCGCAATTACTTCGCCTCCCCGTGTCAGATGTGCATTCTCTACGAGCGAACGCACAGTCGCCAGCGGAGAGAGGAGCACGAAACGGCCGATAAAGGCGCACAATGGCTGGTACGAGCGCGGAAACGCAAATGTCCTCTTTCAGAGGCGTCCTCTTTAGAGGTCGGGGGGAGTGATGGACAGGTGAAAGAAGTGGCCAATGTGGGCTGGTTTCGACGTCTCATGTGACACACACGTCAGCGGCCTTTGTTTTCGCGTCCCTTTGATTGAGTGCTGCGCGTTCTTTGTTCGCGTGCCAGAAGTACAATCCCTTTTATCGTATTCTTCATTTAACGCCCGACGACGGTGCTCCCCAAAATGGAATACAAGTTTCCGCGAGACGGCGAGCGCTGCATTAATACGCAAACCACGGAGAATTGCCGGTTCCATCAGAGCATTTATTCAAATATTATCAGTATGGGAACTTACTAGTTAGTTATCTATTAAATGTCTACTCGCAACTCGCGTGGATACTATCAGTTGTATCATCAATCCGATGCTTTTATATTTAGCGTCATAAATCGTCTTAATCATCCGTGCTCGGTGCATACCGCTTTCGGACAACTGAAAGCGTTCGTAAATAGTTCGTAATCAAGTGTTCGTCGAAATGCGAGTTCCGTCAAACCGGTACCTCTTCTATCTGTCAGAAATATCGTTCGATAAATCGGCGAGACATCAATGTCAGTTAAGGCAATGAGTGCGGGTTCGTGTGACGATTCGCGAATCGATTATTTCCCGGTAGCGGTAGCGCCGCATCGATGCACTGTAAACACGAAATTTCCGCGCGCCGTTCGCTCGCGGATCTAAACATTCCACCTGCTCTACATTTCCGATGCGCGGCGCGAAGATCGTGATCCCGTTTATTCAGCGGAACCTGTTCCCACTCTCGTATTCCGAGCTCGTTGCTTTTCCTGAGAGCGTGATCTCTGATCTTTGCGCGCTCGGCCAGATCGCACGCGGACGACACCGGGCTGCTGAAGGGAGAGCCCCGAACCGTGGACCAGTTTCCACCTGATATAGATCACGATCCGTTTTTCCCGACAAACTCCACGCGACTCACCCTCCGGCGAAACCTGTTCGTTCGCGTGCCGAGGTCCTGCCCTATCCAAAATGCCGGGCTCATCCTCGCTCGTGCCGCGAGGATGAAACTGGTCCATCCACCGGCGAGGGATGGCGATGCTGCCCGCCGAACAATGACCACCGTCCACTCGAACGTACGCAAACACCGAGCCACAAAATGCGGCCGGTTAGCCTTTGACTCTCATTCCCAAGTCTCCTTCCGGTCGGTTTCGATCGGCGAAAAAAACTGGTCCAGTCGGAGGGAGATGCTGCCGCCCTTCGCTCTTTCTCTCGCTGTCCACGCCACGGGGCTAATAAACGCGGACCGCAAAGTACGCGTCCAGTTGGCCTCTGACTCTTGCGCGGCGAGGGTTGACGCGCTCCCCCTCGCTGGCTTCGTAATATTTTGAAAGCGTAAATCGCCGTCTCGAACAAATGATGAGCCCGCCGCGATTAATTTCGCGTCCCGAGCGTTACGGGAATTTACCGAGCGTGATTGTTAATCCGCCTGATATCATGCTCGCCTCGATCGTTCGCCCGTATGTAACGCACCTCAGAATGAACTTCTATTTCCACGCCAATTAAATGCGGCGTTAGTTACAGACGAGAATGTTTAATATCGGTAATTGAACGATATCTAAATATTTATTCCGCTGATGTAATTCTCCGTGACGGCAGCGCAAACATATCGTCGCGCCAGGAACGAATCGATTTTACGACCCTGACTGCCGTCTACGAAAGCGCAGGGAAACAAATCGCAGAGAGGGCAATGCAGGAAACTGCCATTGTGATGTTAGGTAGTATAAGCGACCAGAACGAACGGTGCGTTTACCAGATAATGTCTCAATTACTTCTACGTGTGCCAAATCAATCAATTGATAGATTAAAAGTTATGAAATGTGCATCTAAGTATATAATATTTAGACAAAACGATAAAAACAACGCAGGTAATTTACCGACTGATAGCAACCTAAATTCTGGAAAATTCTAATACTCGCTACAGATTATGCAGAAACTCTCAGCTCGATCGATGACCTTTTATTTCGCTCGAAAGAACGAAAAATTATCATTTTCGCGTACGCGTTACGGCAACATTTTAATCCGTCAAAGCAGCACGAAGTATCGAAAGCGCGAAACGCTTGAACGTTTCCGTAGGAAAACCGATAAGCTATTTGTTGCCCCTTTGTTCCTAAGCAACCCACGCATGCCTTACACGTAGAGCTCGTGCGCGAGGACACGTACGGAGCGTCGAGCGACAAGTGATGGGCTTCTAAAGTGACACTCGCACCCTCAAAGACACCTCAGCACCTTCTCCACGTGCCCCGAAATGTTCGCACCGAGTCCACACGGAATATGCAACGCACGGACGACCGAGCAGGAGCAAGCCAAGTTGCAGAAGATCAAGGAGCTGACGAGCATCTTAAAGGTTTAATCTCGCGGTGGAATTAGCTGCTAACGTTGACAGTTCCTCGGTCGCTCGTTTAAACGAAGCCTACTCTCTCCGACGGTTCTAACATCTCGCTCGGTTTGTTGCACAGGACACGGACGAGAACCTCACCGTATGCGAGGAAATATTGGCGACTTATGTAAAGAAACGATTGAAGGTATGCGCAAAATAACTTGATCCTTCTCTCCCCTCACGTACGAGTCACACTCGTTTATTTCGCGTTGCTTCCACCTTTTTATTGCGACGATCAAAGCGACGTTTTACAGTCGACGATGTAACGATGTGTAACATCAATCCATGATGTATAACGATGCGCGATTTTGGCACGGTGAATATAAAATTTGTAATTATCACTAGTCTAAAATGAAGGTAAATGTACTTCGTCGCTCGCTCGAGTACATATTCTAAGATATAATCTAACGAAAATTACGAGTCGCAATAACGCGAACTACAATATAGGTAGGTTATAGAATTTAAAAAGAAGAGAGTGTCAGGACACGCGATACGCGTGCTTTTTCCTTAGCGGCAGGTAGAAAAGGGCCGCGCGCTCTCGCAATCTTCGCAATTTACCACCCTTTGTACCAACCACCATGCCAACCGTTGTACAACAACGGCCAGCTCGGATACCAACCGCCATACAATCCGTAGCTACTTAATCCGCCAAATCGATACCTGAGAAATCGAACGTATAAGTCAACGTAGACGCCAAACTGCTGTCTCGAGAATTTTACGCTCACCGCTGACAAGATATTTATCTGTACTATTTACCACGGCAATACGGGAGTGTAAGTGTCTACGTAAGCCACAGGAAGCAAACCATAGCTTCTCTTTCCTAGTTTCTTTTCCCCTACGACTTCCTGGGCGCTCGGTTGAGCCTGAAGAACGGTGCTCGCTTGCGGAGACACGTCATTACCCTCGGCTGCTCTCTCGGCAACGAGAGCCTCGTCTCCCGAGACCAGAACGATCAACGATAGCAGAAGCTAAAACAATCGTCGATGCGTGGACAATGCGAATGTGAATCACCATAATCAACGGACGAACGCACGGGATATTTCCGGGTCAATCGTTTTATCAAATACTCCATACGTAAAACGGATATAGTAAATAGAATTGATATATCGAATAATGAAAAAAATTATGAAAAAAATAAGTAATATTTAATGTTATATTAATTAGAATTTAATTAAGTTTCGGTAAAAGCCATTACGTGTCAAATAGATTTACAATTTCGAGTTAACTCTGAATTCACGTGATATAGTTACTTATTCCAGTGAAACAAAAATTCCAGGGCGCGTACGAATTTGAACGAACAGAGATAATCCCGCTTTATGAAATCAACTTCCCACGTTGTGAGTTCCAGAATGAATAATCGCATCGCAGTATCTTATTATTGACGCGAAAACAATATTTCTTCTTCATTTATCTAATTAAACGCACGCATTTTTCAAAAGTCGCAAAAGTTTAAGGCACAGCCGAACAATGATAACTTTTTAAAAATTTTCTTTTAATTTTTCCGCTTCCTTAATTTGAATCAATGGTATGAAACGCGCGTTATTTTGCGTATAGCCGAATTATAAACGGAAATTCACTGACTTTTCTGCTTGACACAATTACACGCGAATGGCTTACCAGCAGCTTCATATTAAGCGTAGCACGAATTCGAACTGATAGCGCTCAGGGGGTTGACACTACTTTTATACCGAGTTTCCCATGTAAGTCGTTCGCTGTATTATGGTGAATTCTAGATTCACGGTATGCGCACACGAATAACTAGCATCCCGACTGACAACTTCGTGAGACCACTCCCATTTAAGGGATCGCCAAACGACATAGCGACCGCATGAAAGAGCACCGCGATTCATTCCTAAAGTTCTTCACATCCCCGAAGTGAGAATGTGCGAAGTGAGAATGCGCAACGTGAGAATGTGTTAAATTGAATTAGTACGCCGCTTAGCTCATTTGTTGGAATATAAGGAAACACCGTGAAAAATATTCAAACATACATAAAGCTGCACGAAATAACTGCCCTACGTAATAAACGATATTAAAAAGAAGATAATGGTTTCTTAATTATTGTATAATGAGGAAAAATGTTCTACTTTCACGCGATGACAAAGAACCAAACCAAAAATATCGGCGAACCATCACCGTTACAGTTTGATCACTTTCCAAGACAACGCTTAAAAGTAAATGTAAAAAAGTATGGCCAGTGTGCCGCAGAAAAAGAACCGCGGTCGGTTGAGATGTTTTAGAGAATTCCGCGTCTAATAAATTTTTCCACGGTGGCATTTTATATGATCGGAAGATAACTTGCAGCCGATCGACAGTGCGCTAAATTTATAAGAATCTGATACGCTTGGCAAACAAACGGGTTCAGTTTTACAAATAAGTATAATCTTTTCTTCCCGGTTTTACGTAAATTTATGTAAAAAGATAAACTGAGATATAATTTATTATGTTCAAACAAAAAATATATAGCGGTATCTGTACCGTCCGAACAATATGCACATGCATACTATACTGGATTTTTAAACTTTATTTGATCGAAGAAAAACATCGCTCGGTAAAAATATACATAAATTTACAGACGTGAAATTTGTCTTTCATATATAATAAGCGTAATACGTAATTAACTTCGCAGAATCGTTTATAGCCGTAACGATCAACTTCGTTCAATAACATCCACTTTTCTGCTAATTACGCCGTAACTATATGCCTACATCATTAATCTGTAATCTGACGTTTATAATCTAATCAAAAAAATGCATTCTCAATTCTTTATTCGGCGCTTCACACCTCGATGAGTCAGTCGTTAAAAGTCGAATGTCATTAGCGAGACAAAGAGGTCGTGTCACGGTGTCGTATTATCGGAACGATTGTCATTAGCGCTGCATCATTTATACATCAAGCATTACTATGAAATAATTCATCCAAAGACACCGTGAACGGTAAGAACGTCCCTTACGCAATCGGGAGCCCTTCCTTACGTGCCGAACGCGTGTCCGTGAGTTTTTGCTTGACCCCTCCCTTGCGAATTGTCATCCTAAGAGGTTGGTCGCTGCCAGACTACGAAACGGCGACTTTCTCTGAACGGAGAACAGGTCGCACACTGCTGTCCGCTTACGAAATCCTCAGCTAGGAAACGTCCGAGTTAACGCAACGCGTTGTCGTCCTCGTCGCTGTCAGCTACATGCCGGTATCGCGGCTACACCGGACACGACGAACGATATCCCGAATCGACGTTCACTATCGCCAGTATTTCGTAACATTCCATCAATTCCTGTCTTTCTATTGTCAGTCGATCGTGATCGCACGTAATTGTTTTTTATGGAATCGCTCGCGCCGGTGAACACGTATAGTATTTTATATAATACCGACATATTCGACGTGGGTCCGAGTATTAATTTTTAGATAACCCCCTTTGTCTTGAGAATCTTATTAACTAACCTCGTGCACTTATCGATTGCGAAGTAGTACTTGGAAAAAAAAAAATTCAAGGTTAAAACGGAGACATCAAATTTTACGTTGGCAATTTTTTCGAGAGCAAATTGTGCCTGTGATTATTGCGTTTGAAAGATTCCTCTACACTACTTTTACGATGAACAACTCGCATATGTTACGCATAGTTTGATAGGCAAATTTTGAATGCACCCGAGTTAACACCACTTTTTTTGCCGGTTATCTTTCATGTTACCGAGCGGGTAACGGTAATATTGCTCTTAATTAACTCAGTTCCAGCTGTAAATTATAAACGTATGCCATTGTAAGGTTGTCGACCCGCATGTAAGAAAGTTTGTTATAGAAACAATTCTTATCTGGATTTCCGGTTATTGATGAAACAAACGCAGCGATTTTTGCATTTATTTATTAGACAAATCGCTGTAAGTTAAAAACCAAAAAAGCAAGTGAAATGGAAAGAAAGAGAGCGAGAGAGGTACCGGTAGTAAACACGAATTAATTTTACGTTTGTACACGCATCGGTGGATCCCCTTTCACTCGCTTGGGAAGCTAATAAAAGATATGCAAACGCAGTCGCCCACAATGGATTCGTCACAATTTCACCGATTTTTTTTCGATCTTAAATTTCAGTTGTTTATATTTTTCATGATACTTTATCGTTTTACATCGATCGCAAGAGAAACTTAAGGGCAAAGTTGTAAAATCTTATAATCTTCTAAGTCGCGCCATCGTCGCGTTACTAACAAATGAATAAATAAATAAAATTGCTTTCTACGATAAATAAAATTGCTGTCTACTTCGAAATGCAGCAACTAGACAAAACATCGAAAGTTTCGTATCAAATTATGTTGTAATTGAACGATGACGTTCGTAGCGAAGAAACGATTGAAGTGCGGCAAGTGGTACGACTTGGGTAATCTCGCACCAATAAAAAAATTCTATCTTTATACGCGTGGAATGAATCACCCGCACAGTCGAAATTGTTGCAAATAATGACGAACGATCGACATTTTTGTCACGGACAACTAAAAACGAAGGAATGCCTTCCCTTCACGAATTCGTCGCGCCATAATCGTTCCCGGAATAGCAATTAAATCATCGTTGGCCAACACGCCTCTTTTATTTTTCACTTAAAGGAAAACCTAATTGCCGTTTACGGCGGTAAGTCACGATGAAACCCGCATAGCCTCAGCTTTCTTTCGGAAAATTACGAAACGTCGCGTCAGGTGCATTGATTTTATGCGTGCAATTAAACCACGAGGGAATTTAACCAACCAGAGTCGCACGACTACGTCTAACTTTTTACCTCTCTTTCTCGAATAACCGTAACTCATTCGGCCTCATGGCTCGCGCTCATTCCCGCGCGCATTGCATCGTGCCGCTTCAGTTGTCGCTAATCAACGAGTGAGCCCGTGCAATCCAAGAGAAACTCGACATTTCTTTCCGATATTATGCAAAAATTTATCCCCGCCAGTTAAGTCATTGTTTAACGACGTCTACGCCGCCGCAATTGGCCGGCAGTCCTCGTGGAGTCCTCAGTCGCGAAGGTTCCGTGCGACTCCGCTAACTTGATTTCGCCGCGCGCTTCGACGACATAACCACTTCCCACGGTAGAAAATTATTCGTCCGATAATTTCTCCTCGTTTATTCGCAATTACAATAACGAAAGAACACAACGCAATACACAGAATCGCGACGTGAAGCGCAATATATCGCACAAGATATATAAACGAAATGTTGAATTCCGCGAGTAGAACGAAGAAATTAACTTCGAAAGAAGCACGTTGATCGTTTGACAACCTAAGCCCAAAGGCGAGAGTGAAGTGCCTTGATTACACGACCACCAAGGGCGACACGGCGCGTCTTCCAATCCAATGTGCGACTTGTGATTCTCGAGTATCGATCAGGCGCATTCCAAAATGAAATCGCGAGTATTGATCCTGTGCTTACTGTGCGTCGTGCGCGCGTCCCAAGTTCTATCGAAGGAAATCACCGAGTTCGGCGAGAGAACCTCGGTGCGAGACCCGTCGAGAAAATCTACGTGGGGAAACGATGGAGCCGACGGTCGGGACGCGGCCAAGTTTCGCGACAAGAGAGCTTTGGGACTTCTACTGTCGGGCCTGGCCCAGATCTTCGGGTACACAGTGACGCCGGTTCAGCTCGCGTCGTTGGCCAACTCGAACATGACGACACCCGCCGCGAACTCCACGGCGATGGGCAACATGACGGGACAGCAAACCGCGTCCTCGCGACCCATGTTGATGAACGTCACCGTGCCAACGCCGAGGCAACAGGAGACCATCAGGTTCACCGGCGTGGTGAACTTCGGCAACAACTCAGACATCGTAGGACACCTTCAACGCTACGAGCGGATCTTCCACGGCCGCGGAAACAACACGGGAGCTGCGATGACGACCTCGCGACCCGGCACGCCGATGCCGAAGCCGGCTGCGAATCTCCCGGTGAACCCGAGAACCAGACCGCCTCTGTTGACGCCGTTCTTCGTGAAGATCCCGTTGCCGATCGCGCCTGACCTCCTACCAGCCACGATGCCCATCCAAGATCTGCAACTATCGTATCCCGTCCCGCTGATTACAGTCGCGAGCGAGTCGGGCGAGGAAGCGACGCCGGAGCTGCCGGTTCGGAAGGAACAGGAGACGGTGTACAGGAACAGCGAGGATACCGAACGGTACGTGGTGGAGGAAAAGGAGATCTACGATGAGAAGGACGTGATGAAGCCGGTGAGCAAGTATACTCATCAACTGTACGTCGACGAGCCGAGCTTGAGCAAGCAGCAGGACGAGAGATACAACGAAGTGCAACGCAAGCAAGAGGAATACATTGCGAGGATGAAGGTGCAGGAGGCGCAAAAGCACCGGGATGACCACGGCAGAGAGGACGAGATCAACGAGAGGCACGGGAATCGAGAGGAGGAGGTCGCTGATCGAGATCGAGACCACGCTTCCAAGTATTCCTCGGCGGAGGAGAGAAGACCCGCGTACGACGAGGCGGGCGAAGAGTCCGCGGAAGGACACGAGGAGCGCGAGGACCAGGCGAATCGCTCGAACGAGTCCTCGGAACGACCGGCAGAAAAGGAGGAGGGAGAGAAGACCGAACGTTATCCGGATTACGACGACAACGACGAGCCTGTGAAACAATACAAGCAAGACGACGACGACCAGCCACCGCCAGCTGACTTCAACAAATACGTAGAAATGGCGTACAATCAACAATTACCGATCGGCGATTACTTCCACGAGGGTAACCTCGAGGAGATCCGCGACAGCTACGGCGAAGTATTGAACAACAAGAAGCTGGAGGACGACAGACTGTCTGGTTACTTCAGCATGTTCAAGCAGCCGTACGTGGACGCCCATCAGCGAGTTCGAGAGCCCGAAAACGTGTCGCAGGAGGATAAGAGAGAGGAGACGTCTACCGAGGCGGACGGTTACGACGAGCACTTGAAGAGAATACAGAAACTACGAGAAGAGTACGCCTTGCCCGAACCAGAGAGCAAATACGAGGAGTACGAAATAAACGACGAGAGTGAGGCGAACAGGAACGGCAGGCAGGAGGAGAGAGACGAGAATCGTACCGTGACGAAATCGAAGAAGCCCAAGACGAGCCGCGGCAAAGAGAATATTCGTGCGAAAACAACGGGCGGATCGAGCAGGAATCAGCTTGAACGCGAGTCCGAGGAGGCGAAGTCGCAGGAAGAGTTCGACCTTGTGAAGTACACGCCTCTGATCGTGCCTGTGCGCTACATCGACGCGAACGACCGGGTGGAGCAAGCGAGTACGCAACAACTCAAGTATAAAGAATCGAAGAAGAAATCGGGTAACAGTCAAGTTCCCGCCAAGACCGACAACGTCGCGAGCAAAGAGAAACCAACGCCCGTCACGGCCAGCTTGCCGGAGAGACCACGGCAATTGCACGAGGGCGAGCACAAAGAATATCAGCTGTGGCCGCCGCCTTTCGACTACGCCTTCGACAATACGGAGCGAACGAACACCATCGTCCCGGCGAATCCACAGAGCTACCCCTTGAACTATTATCAGCATATCGTAACGAACGTCGCCGATGACGACGCGAGCATTCCTTCGGACCAACCTGCCGGCTACGTGGTGGTTGTCGGCAATCCCGTGCATCCGTATCGCTACCCCTACAATATCTATTACTTCCCCAAGGAAGCCGTAAATCCGCAGAATCAGGACCACCTCAACACCGAAGGCACACATCCGCAGCAACACCAGCTTCACCTCCCTCGGCGGAACGCAGATCAATTGTCCGCCCCAGCGAAACCTAATCCCACCGAGTACATAACCGAGAACCATAACGAGACCACGAGGAGTACTCGTAACTATTATAATCAACCTCAGGAAGCTCCAGCTGACGTTCTCAATCGTTACAAATACGCTTTTGGAGAATATCCCTCTCGAGTCGACGAACTGCCAAATGTTGCCGTGAGAAGTCACATTTCTAATACAGAAAACTGGTCCAATAGGATATATCCATCGCAACCGCGAGGTGAGAGGGTCGGTCAATCTCCGACGACTCTCGCACAGCTGCAGAACGTCGCGTCTTCGAATCAGAACGTGCAGAGTACGCTTTCGGAGGGACGACGTCATCCGCAGCCGTCGAGAATACGGAAGAGTTCGCAGTCGGAGAACCGGGGCATTCGAAAGGCGAGGGCTCTACCGCGACATTCAGGCCCGAGGAAGAAACCTTTCGATGATCCTCAGAGCGCGCACGACTTCTTCGGCTTCAGCAAGAACGATTACAGCTTTGACGGGGAAAGCGACGACGCGTCGAAAGTCGCCGAGGAGAACGGGGAAAACACGAAGGAGCCGCACGTGTTCGTCGCACCGGAACCGGCCGCTTATCACTACAACGAAAGCACGGTGAAACACATCGATGAACCGGAAAATGATACGGAGAAAGGCGTAGTTAGGGAATACAGGAATAAAGTGGCGACCTTGAGAGTGTCGGAGCAGAGGCGATTAACACCCAATGGGCCGACTCATTATGTGGACTTTACGCGTAATATTTAATGGCGACGTATCATTAAAAAGAGAAGAAGTCTAATCTAATAAATATACACGGCGCGAAGCGCCGAGATGTTGTTAATATGTTTGGTGCGTTGTTAATAAAATATATTCCATAATAATATATGTGAAAAATACTCGTCAATCTCTCTCTCTCTTTTTTTCTCTCTCTCTCTTTCTCTTTTCTCTCTTTTTTTTCATGTAGCATTCATTACTAACACGAAATATTGATATTTGTATTTAACCTCAATCTTAATGCGTGTTATATTGTAAAAATAATATATATATATACGTATAAGAATAACTATATAGAATAGGGACAACAATATATAAATATATAGCTTGCCTTAATAAATTATTAATAATATTATAAGATACAGACTGAAAAGTAATTATCACGCGCGGGGCAAAACTTTATTTAAAATAATGAAAAAAATTCTTCGATAAGAAAATTGATTAATATCACAAATTATTGAACAAGTTATGCGTCTATATAATAGAAAAAAAATTTCCTTTTTAAGATATTTTTGGGGATATTTTTCCGTGGAAAATTGGATTTTTTAACCAAAGGATATTCTACGTTGCTTTCGATTGTTATCTATTAATATATATCGGAATATCTTTTAGCATTTATACGTATGTTGCAGGAAAAAAGGGAAGAAATGCAAAGAAGGAACGAATTAGAAAACAGGATGGCTGAAATATTGGAAAACCTGAAGACGCGATTGTTGGTCGAATAAGTCGGATATTTCAAATCTATATATATTTTTATCAATTAATTATATGATTTTCTAACCGTCGATGGCGTATTATTCTTTATGTTACTTGTTATTATATCTATTTCGTTTCATAAAGAAATAAAATTATATTCTACTGATTTTATCGCATCTAATATATTGCAACTTCCTTTATGAATCCACATCCTTACTTCATGTTACTTAATGCATGTTATCATGTATTAATCCAGAATTACTGGCACATAAAAAAGAAAAGATCAAATCTAATGATTTCACACTGTGTCTGTAAAATTTAGACCGTTATTTAAAATAATAAACAATATAAAAAAATATCTGCCCTTTACATTTTTATACCTGTATCGTAATCATGTAAAAAATATTTCATGTGTTTTACAGATATATTCATTGTTCATATAGTCAATAAAGAAATTAGAAACAAAATATAATGTGCGAATCATGATGTGATAAAAAAATGGTGTAATAATTCTAAATTAAATAAAAATAGAATATCATATCGACTCACTCTGCAGACTCCAAAATTCGCACTGCTCTTATCCAAACCCGATGGTCCTCGACGACGACCCTCGTCGATAATCCTCATGGAAATGTCCATAATCCTCTTTTGAAAGGAGTCATTGTCACTATAAGAGGTATTCATAATTGAGTCTTCCTATATAGCACATATATCCAAGGAACGTCCTAAAAACGTCCAGAGACGTCTCTACGTCCTAAGGATGTCTACAGATCATCTATCGGATATGATGTGCTGTATGAGTTATATTTAAACCTACCTTGAGTTTATCTTCAGGTGTTTTATAGTTAATGAAATGAGCCGTACAGCAACTGAAGATAAACTTGTGACGATCTTGAATATAATCCGACTCTGAATACCGATCTATATAAGTTACACGCGAACGCGTTCTTTCGCTATTACTGCTCCGATACTTTTCTACTGTTTTTGTCGTACGAACGCACAGAACCGAGTGTGTGAAGCAAGGTACAGTTTTGGCCTCCTTTGCTACACCCGAAAACGTAAACACTAACAACACCGCGTGAATAGCTTGCTAAATGTATGCTATCCTGCCTAAACGACCTTTATTCGAGAACATATGCACACATTTCCGCATTATTTTTAAGGACCGTCCCGTTTAACGACTTACGCGTATCATGATCCGCCATTATTACTGTAAATTCAAATTTCGATTATCGCAATATGCGTGATACATCGATGTGTCGGTAGTTGGTAGTAATCGATTTCAGCACGATAACCAATCAGCATTGAGTATGTCTGAGTGCAGACTGACTTAACAGATGTCGCTTGTAGTATCTGGTCTGTTCTTTTCAGCTGCATTGCTGAACTAGTAAATTAAATTAGAGTGAGACAAGTATATTTTGTTTCACTCTAACTTATTGCATCAGTTCAGCAGCGCAGATAAAAAGAACGGACCAATAATATACAGTTCATGCTCCAAAGTAAATACAACACTAACATTATTCTTCGTAATTTACAAATAAATGTGTTAAAACGTTAATACGGGCATGCTAAAAGAAATAAATTGCATTTGCATTAAATTCTTGGAGAAAACGAATGATTTAGTTGTATAGTGTTCAATAAAGTGTTAAGTATGGAAGAGGTTCTGAAACAATTAGGGGTTGGAATCCGACCTGTGAATGATCCTTTCTTTGACGACTCCTATCAAACTTGTAAAGTTTTCCAAAGGAAAGGAGTTACGGTCGATGACGATGAAGAATTATGTCACGAAGTGTGAGTTTAAACAATAATACTTGCAGAAAGTCTCATTATAACCTTGAAATATATTAGCTTTCATACGATAATAATGCTAATATTATGTCTTCAATTTTTGCTCACGAAATTATATATGATCTCTTTTTTTAAGGATTTTATTTTTAACAAGGATTCTTAGAAAATCAAAATTATTAAAGGTTTACTTCAATCGTATAGAGGGAAGGATTGGTTTAAAATAAGATCAATATTTGTTTTATTTCAGTGTCGGAGAATTTCCTTGTTACGTCTCAGGATGCAAAAGCACTTTTCAAACGTTGCTTGATTATGAGATGCATTACAATACTTCTCATCGGTATGTTTGTACAGAATGTAAGACATCTAGGCCAAATCCACGACTATTAGAAATCCATATCCAAGAGTTGCATGATGCTTTCTTCAAAGTTTTATCAGAAAAACAGGCTATGGTAATAACAATGTTTATGTATTTATATATATATGTTAATTTTATCATATATGTTACACTTAATGTAAAATATTAAGTATAATATATAATTAAATATCTACTTAATATAAATAATATTTATTCCAGTATCAGTGTTATGATTCTGAATGCGACATAAAGTTTAATAACCCAGTGGAAAGGAGAGAGCATTGCATTCAAATACACAAGTTTCCGAAGAAATATCGATTTGATGACACTTCACTTTATAATACGAAGGAAAAATCAGATAAAATGGAAATTGATGATGTTGGTAAAAGCCAGAAAAATGCTAAAGTAATTTTAAATAAAAATAACAAAAGTAAGATGTTCACAAAAGCTGCTACTAGTAAAATTTGTGTAAATACTGACAGTGTAAAAACAATTCCATCAACTGATACAAAGACAAACTTTACATCACCATTAATTTTTCTACCTAGACAAGTACAAAGGTCTTTTTCAAAAGTACTTACAAATAATCAGAATAGAGAAAGAAATGTTCTCGAATCACATACTATGGTGGAACTAGCAGATTCATTGCCTGATTGACATATTGAGATGAATTTAAAAGTTTTCTTCTTATTTCGTTGACATATCTGCATAAATTCCAAAAGTGTATCGATTTTATCGAGATGACTGATAAATTTGAATAAAATATTTGAGTGTAAAGTGTACATAAATCACACATTGATATTCTAACGAAATGAAAATTATTTTATTTAAAAATGTAAAAATTTACACAACTTAAATAGTAATACCCACTTTATAATATATAGGAAACCCCACGTTCATTTATACAAATTAAGTCAGTTATAGTAATCAATTATAGTAATCAAACAACTTTTGTATAAAACATTGTTCTATAAAATGCTTTGTTTCTGAGGTATATGTTTGTCACACTTTAACTGATTCACCCCATTAAGCAGCTTTAAGAATTTATCGTTAATAATAAAGTTCCTAATAGCTAACTGTTAGTTATAGAAATTTGAATCTGAACCTGAATTGATATTTTGATATTTGACATATGTAAAACATATTGATATAAATATAATATACAATATAAATATATAGATATATACTGCAATGAATTTGGGGTCGAGTATATATCATTAAACAAAATTAACAATATTTTAGTTAAGTGGGGTTTTCGTCTTCCGTGTCGAGAGTTATCAGTACACTTAACAGACACTCGTTTCCCTCGAACTCTCTACGATCAAATTGCATATTTTGTTGCTTTGCTATTTTTAAAATTTTATACATCCCACACCAGAGCTTCATATTTTGTTCTTCAAGAAAAGCTGTTCTAACGGCAAGTTCGTCCTCTTTCACCCGTCGATTGTCCCTAGAACGTTTCGCTGCTGCGTTGTTCTTTTTCCTTCTCTCCAAATAGGCCTGATCTTTATCGGTAGTGCTACTAGTGGGTGATCCGCTTCTGTTGGGAGTCCTGCGCATTTTACTATTTGTACTTTCATTTTCTGTGTGCCTGACTTGTTCAAGTATCTCTTTCCGGAACTTGTTGTACACATTAGATGTGGCTTGGCTGCCTACGCTCAAGACCAGAGGATCTCTCGGGTAGGCCTTGAATGGTCTCGCTGAGGTTCTAATCGCTTTTAATATTTCTGCCGACTTTTGCACGTCCGAGAACGGCATCGTCGATGACGCCTGAGATGACGATGACGCCTGAGGTGACGATGACGATGAAAAATTTGATGTTTCCATACCGTTCACCGGCGGAAACGGACTTATCGTATTTGATGCCATCGATATCGAGTGATTATGCGATATTGACTGTCCGGTTGGCAAAGGGCTGTTGCTAGCGCTGCTGTTGAATTGATTGCTGTTGATCACTTCAGCATTGGCCTGATTGACGTGACTGCTATTGATATGATTCATCCAACTGATGTTGAGCTGTCTATGTTGCATTCGGTCAGTATTGATCCGATTGTTGATCTGATTAGAACTGGTCTGATCGTTTTTGATCTCGCTGTTGATCAGAACATTATTAATCTCGCTGTAGTTGATTTGGCTATCATTATTGGTCCGCTCATTTTCCTCCTGCGGCAATTTATGTTTCACAGAAAATCCCCCCATATTGGTTTTCATGAGATAACTCATCAACGTGAGCGGACTATTGTTGATACTTGGTTGTTGTATCAATTGTTGCATGTTCATCTCATTAGACGAGATCAAAGGTGCGGGAGTAAATGCCGGTACATTTACAACCACAGACGTTGATGGTTTGCATGATAGATCTAATGCCATCGGTGAATTTGGGTAGGTCTTTGAACCTGAACCAACCTCGAATGGAGAATTTTCCGAGCCCTCTCCCCGGACCATTGTTGTTTAACTGCAGAGCAAAATCAATTGAAAATTATTCGCGTGATTCCTTATTTAATTCCTTAATTAATTAATTAATTTATTTCTGTTAACCGAGTAACTTATTTTACACAATTAGGGAAAAAGAAAACAGAAAGATACGCAAAGGAAATGCCGGAAAATAGTTAACGTACAAAGAAAGCTTAAAACTAACACATAAATAATATAAAAAAGAAAAATAGAAAAATAAATTATAAATCAAGACATTCTGCAGTGATAATGTCAAAGCGAGAGAGTAGAATGTTTAATTTTGGAGAAAGAGTTGGGGGAGAGTCGCAAGATTGTAAGGCGTGACATGCAAAGTTACAAATCTTAGTTATTAGAACACTGTGCGAAAGATATGAGCGATGAAAGATAGGGCGAAATAGAGGAACAACGCGAATGAGTCTCGGGCAAGCATTAAAATTTATCAATGATAAGAGCGAGGGGCAACTAAGATTTCCAGCAGTTATTTTATACAAGAAAACTGCGTCAGTCATCCGTCTACGAACCTCGAATGTGAAAAGGTTAATTTAAACATAATACATGAATAATCATATCAATATCTTCCCATAGGCGAACCAATTCGAAAGCTGAAGAATCTTAGAAACCTATGCTGCACTCTTTCTACTTGAGTTATGTAAATCTTCCGATAAGGAGACCATTAGCATATTCGAGATAGGGGCGAAAGATGGGCGAAAGATACGTACATAAGTCTAAATGTGAAAGAACTTCTGAAATCACGAGAGAAACGCTTAATCAAGCCAAGTAGTTTTAAAGCCTACCTAACGTTGTTTACATGATGCATAAGGAAGGGAGGAATCAACAATCAACATCCTAGATCTCGCATCTTCTCTATAGAAGCCAATGACATATTATTCAATTGAATAACTAAAATGAATGAAATTACAAATACCGAGAAAACGCATCTTGAAACATTTAGAAATATTGAGCCACAAGCAATTATCAACACACCAAACTGCGCGTACGAATGTGTTTAATTATATTAATATATATATATTATATATATTAATTATTATATATATTATATTATTAATAATTAATATATATATTATATTATTAATAATTAATATATATATTATATTATATTAATATATATACATTATATATATTAATTATATATATATTATATATATTAATTATTATATATATTAATATAATTAAACACATTCGTACGCGCAGTTTGGTGTG